CTCCTGCTGAAGATACTTTCGAATCATCAGCCAGAGCTCCAGATAATTTTTCATGCAATTAGTTTTAAATTTTTGATTTTTTCTGCAATTAGTTTTTACACTTCCCGATTTCAAATTCAATAAGTTTTTTTTTAGATATCTAGGATGGTTTTTATCTCACCTGACCACGAAGTGGTCATGGTGAGGTATAGTGATGGGGCTATGTCCTTCGTCCGTCGTCGTTCGTCGTCAACAATTGGGTTGTAAACAGTCTAGCAGTCACAGTTTTGATTGGATCATCATCAAACTTTGTCAGAATGTTCTCAATGAAATACAGATCGAGTTCGAAGATGGGTTATCTCGAGTCAAAAACTAGGTCACAGGAGCTAAAAATAGAAAAAGCTTGTTAACACTCTAGTCTCTAGAGGCTGCAGTTTTTATCCAAATATTCTGGAAATTTGTCAGGAAGGTTGTTTTGATGATATCTAGGTCAAGTTTGAAGATGGGTCATCTCCGGTCAAAAACTAGGTCACAGGAGCTAAAAATAGAAAAGGCTTGTTAACACTCTAACAATTGGGTTGTTAACAGTCTAGCAGTCACAGTTTTGATTGGATCATCATCAAACTTTGTCAGAATGTTTGTCTCAATGAAATACAGATCGAGTTAGAAGATAGGTTATCTCGGGTCAAAAACTAGGTCACAGGAGCTAAAAATAGAAAAAGCTTGTTAACACCCTAGAGGCTGCAGTTTTCATCCAAATATTCTGGAAATTTGTCAGGAAGGTTGTTTTAATAATATCTAGGTCAAGTTCGAAGATGGGTCATCTCCGGTCAAAAACTAGGTCACAGGAGCTAAAAATAGAAAAAGCTTGTTAACACTCTGGTGGCTGCAGTTTTCATCCAGATATTCTGGAAATTTGTCAGGAAAATTGCTTTGATGATTTCTAGGTCAAGTTTGAAGATGGGTCATCTTCGGTCGAAAACTAGATCACAGGAGCTAAAAATAGAAAAAGCTTGTTAACACACTAGTGGCTGCAGTTTTCACCCAAATATTCTGGAAATTTGTCTGGAAGGTTGTTTTGATGATATCTAGGTCAAGTTTGAAGATGGGTCATCTCAGGTCAAAACCTAGGTCACAGGAGCTAAAAATAGAAAAAGCTTGTTAACACTGTAGTGGCTGCAATTTTCATCCAAATATTCTGGAAATTTGTCAGGAAAGTTGTTTTGATGATTTCTAGGTCAAGTTTGAAGATGGGTCATCTCCGGTCAAAAACTAGGTCACATGAGCTAAAAATAGAAAAAGCTTGTTAACACTCTAGTGGCTGCAATTTTCATCCAAATATTCTGGAAATTTGTCAGGAAAGTTGTTTTGATGATTTCTAGGTCAAGTTCAAAGATGGGTTATCTCCAGATTAAAACTAGGTCACATGAGCTAAAAATAGAAAAAGCTTGTTAACACTCTAGTGGCTGCAGTTTTCATCCAAACATTCCTGAAATTTGTCAGGAAGGTTGTTTTGATGATTTATAGGTCAAGCTCGAAGATTGGTCATCTCAGGTCAAAAACTAGGTCACAGGAGCTAAAAATAGAAAAAGCTTGTTAACACTCTAGTGGCTGCAGTTTTCATCTAAACATTCTGGAAATTTGTCAAGAAGGTTGTTTTGATGATTTCTAGGTCGAGTTCAAAGATGGGTTATCTCAGGTCAAAAACTAGGTCACAGGAGTTAAAAATAGAAAAAGCTTGTAAACACTCTAGTGGCTGCAATTGTCATCCAAATATTCTGGAAATTTGTCAGGAAAGTTGTTTTGATGATTTCTAGGTCAAGTTCAAAGATGGGTTATCTCCAGATTAAAACTAGGTCACATGAGCTAAAAATAGAAAAAGCTTGTTAACACTCTAGTGGCTGCAGTTTTCATCCAAACATTCCTGAAATTTGTCAGGAAGGTTGTTTTGATGATTTATAGGTCAAGCTCGAAGATTGGTCATCTCAGGTCAAAAACTAGGTCACAGGAGCTAAAAATAGAAAAAGCTTGTTAACACTCTAGTGGCTGCAGTTTTCATCTAAACATTCTGGAAATTTGTCAAGAAGGTTGTTTTGATGATTTCTAGGTCGAGTTCAAAGATGGGTTATCTCAGGTCAAAAACTAGGTCACAGGAGTTAAAAATAGAAAAAGCTTGTAAACACTCTAGTGGCTGCAATTGTCATCCAAATATTCTGGAAATTTGTCAGGAAAGTTGTTTTGATGATTTCTAGGTCAAGTTCAAAGATGGGTCATCTCCGGTTAAAAACTAGGTCACAGGAGCTAAAAATAGAAAAAGCTTGTTAACACTCTAGTGGCTGCAGTTTTCATACTAAATATTCTGGAAATTTGTCAAGAAGGTTGTTTTGATGATTTCTAGGTCAAGTTCAAAGATGGGATATCTGAGGTCAAAAACTAGGTCACAGGAGTTAAAAATAGAAAAAGCTTGTAAACACTCTAGTGGCTGCAGTATTGAGTCAAATATTCTGGAAATTTGTCAGGAAGGTTGTTTTGATGATTTCTGGGTCAAGTTCGAAGATGGGTCATCTTAGGTCAAAAACTAGGTCACAGGAGCTAAAAATTGAAAAAGCTTGTTTACACTCTTGTGGCTGCAGTTTTGATTAAAAGATTCTGGAAATTTGTCAAGAAGGTTGATTAGATGATTTCTGGGTCAAGTGCTAAGATTGGTCATGTCCGGTCAAAAACTAGGTCACAGGAGCTAAAAATAGAAAAATCTTTTTAACACTTTAGTGGCTGCAGTTTTGATCCAAATTTCCTGGAAATCAGTCAGGAAGGTTGTTTTAATGATTTTTAGGTCAAGTTTGAATATGGGTCATGTCCGGTCAAAATTTAGGTCACATTGCCCAAATATGGAAAAATCTTTATAACACACTAGAGGTCACATGTTTGACTCAGTTGTCATCAAACTTGGCCATGATGCTTGTTTAAGACATTGCTTGGATGCGGTTGTATCAGGTGAGCGATCCAGGGCCATCATGGCCCTCTTGTTTTATTTAGTTTTGTCTAAGAGACATATTTAATGGGGTACTGCAAGTATTTTATTAAGCATCAGATTAGCACATACACCATCAGCAATGAAAGGCTTGGTTTTACTTAAGTACCGTTTCTGTAATGTTTAGTCCACTACGTTTTTACTATTTATTTCTTACCTCAAACAATGACATTTGCTATTTCCTCAGACTCTTATTCCATACACGATTTTCATTTTCTATTTATCCGGTCTTATTAGTTGTCTGTCATTTTTTCGCTCTTTCTGACGTCATGTTTGATTTGATTTTCTGGAAGGGTGGTCACTCTGAGCACATGAAAAAACTGTGCAAATTAATGCGGTGGTGTGATACTTTATTGCTCTGACAAAATATATACAATCAGAAAACTGTTTCTTTCGTTTCTGATTTTTTAAACGATTGCAATTGTTATGCAATTCTTTTTTAAAGACAATTATTGTGATGGTCATTTAATAGTTACTTTAACGCCTAATTTCGTATATTTTGGCCAACATTTAGTGGACGCTCAGTGGATATAACAACGTCATTTAATGGAATAAACTTTTACAGTAAAAATAATCGGGAGGGATTTTATGCGGCTGCTTAATAAAAAAAAAGTCGCTAAATAAAGATGGACGCATGAACGATGCCAACTGTATATAGATATATAAAATACACTTAAGTGTTGTTACATCTTTAATTACAACATACAGGATCTTTAAGTTTTATGTGCAAGTTGGTATCTCGCAATCAACTGAAGGGACTGGATTGAAACTTCACACACTTCTTATTGTTTTTGAGAGGCCAATGTCTAAGGCTCTAAAGCTATAAAGTAGATTTTGACAGAATAATGGCCCTTTTTGAAGTTTTACATCTAGGCTCTTGTTTAGCTGTCAAGCACTGAAATAGTCCAGCATGCTGTCCTACTGACAGCTTGTGTTATACCCACTGTTACTTTTTTAAAACTCTTTTAAACAATTTTTAGAGCAGAATTTGGTTACCATTGAAAACATTTGTATTTCAGTGTTTTAACATTTACATACGTGCAATTTCAAATTTTTAGATTTTATTGCTTAGTCTTTTAGGTAACCTCAATGGCAACAAATACGATAATGAAATATATAAATGATAGCAAATGCTGTGTCTGAATTATGTACCTTTTACTACAGATATTTCAAATTTCAAGAGAGATGTTAGAATTTGTTCATATAAGGAAACTTTTTCAGCAGTGTTATGTATTTTGTAAGGTCACTCAGATTTGTGGCTGTGCTTAGTTGCCAGCCCTTTGCACGGAGGGTCAACTGAGGTTGTCCTCCTCTAGTACAGTTACCAGACATGCCAAATATGATTTAGACTTTGCCACTAGTATAGAGCCCGTCTAGGCTACAAATTCCTTCAGTCTGGCCAGGCACTGTACAGTTGGTAGCTCAATATTTGTACTTGGATATTGAAATCCCTTTAAAGGGTATAAAGCTATATCTAATGAAATAGTTTTATAAAATTTATCAACAGTAAAATTGTATTGTTTTGATAATCTTATGGTCGATTTTCAAAAAACGTACCATCGAATGTCCCTGTTGTTAAACATACATGATTAGTGTACTTTAACAGAATACAATATCTAAAACGTTCCGTAACAAAATATGCTGCTGCTATTTTAAGCAGGGTTTTAAACATAAAGCAATGATGCTCTTGCCATTAGCTTTCATGGCAATATACTTTAATTTTTATCTCAATTTGCATCAGAAATATAGCTTTATACACTTTAAACTTTTAACAGACTGTTCCTAAATTCAAAGCTTGGCAAATCCATTTTACAAATTCAACATATGAGCCTCGCCATGACAAAACCAGCATAATGCGTTTGCGTCCAGCATGGATCCAGAACAGCCTGCGCAGTCTGATCAGGATCCATGCTGTTCACTTACAGACCCTATAACAAGTAGAGAAACTGATAGCAAAAATTCAACATCTTTTATGATTTTTCTTTTTTAGCAATACATCAGTAGAAAGCATGGAGGAGACAAGGTCATTGTGTTTGAGAGAGTAGAAAAACTTGTCTTTATATTTAACTTCCATCCGAACAAAAGTTACACCGACTACAAGATTGGAGTGGGTTATCCAGGAAGGTACTACTTGTTTTCAAGATATCCATCGACGCCAACATTTCTTTTAGACTATCCTAAATTAAGAACACCCTAGTGTTAAGGCAATTTTTCTCCACAACCACAAGCGGTGTCATTAGTGGGGTTCTACTGTATTTAAACAAACCTCCCCTCTCCCCGCTCTGCTGTGGTTTTCAAGTCCATTTAGGGACATTAAATTTGCTCACATGAGGTAACCTGTTGAAAATTGATGGTTATACATTTGGCTGTGAGGTTGTTTTTTTTTTCTTTCTGTTGTTATTTTACTGCCGATTTAGCACACATGTTTGGTCATATTTCAGTGATCAATCCACATTATCAAATTTCCTGGATAACTTAGCAGTTATTACCAATTTCTTCAGAAGTAATCAACTACCAATAGTTCATATTGGTCATTACTATTAGTACTTAGTACTTTATACTATTATTAGTTATCCAGGTAAGACTGTTAAGTGGATCAACGGCTGATTTATGATGACCAAAAACATGTGTTCAATTTGGTGCCAATAAAAATAATTCAAAGAGGCACATTTTCAGCATCAGTAAAGCTTAAAAGTTGCTCTATGCTTATAACATTGTTGGTAAAATTGAAACACAAATAAAAATTAAAGAGGATTTTAATGTTTATGTAAGGATTCTGTTTAACTCAGTCGTTGTGCTTTGTTAACCTAAAAAATGTTGAGAACAATTGCAAGCAATATGGTCTTGTAAAACTAAACTTTGCACTAGATTTGCAGGTTTGTTCAAGTATTTTATAGATTGGTTCAAGCTATGATAATTTTATTTATTATATACTTATAAAAATTAATGAAATATTGATGAAATAAAATGCGTGTTTTCATTTTCCGTATTTTCACTGTAAAAATTTATTTTTCACTGCAGCCGGTACACAAAATTTAAGGGAAAGTCTTTCAAATTTTAATGTCAAAAAAGACAAAAATGTATATAATAAACAGAAAATCCAAGTTTTTTCTATAAATACATGATTTATTTTCATCTTGTGGCATGAAAATTATTATATTTCACTCGTGGCTACCGCCACTCATGAAATATTTATTTTCATACCACTTGATGAAAATAAATCATGTATTTATAAAAAGAACTTGAATATCCTCTATAGATTTGTTCAAGCTATGATATTTTTATTGATTGGTTCAAGCTATGTTTCTTCAGGCAAATATTTTCTTCAGATATAAAATGGTGCTGGACACAGACTCGGAGACGTATGGTGGTCACAAGCGACTGGATCCTAACGTAGAATATTTTACAAATAATGAATCGTGGGACAATCGTTACCATTCAATGATGGTAAGAAATCATTTGAACATTGATAATTTATACCAGCTCACTTGCCACTGTGTGTGTTTCACTTAGGGCTATCGTTGAATATTACTATATCTATACATCATCGATATTCATCATTTGATACAATATTAATACACACTTTAAAAAATGGAGACAAGCTAAAATTTATTTATTTCTGTTAGTGAATATACCTCTCTATTTTGCCTTATAAGAGAAGTCACTTTTTTCCAGTTTTCTTGGCTAACTTGAACTTTAAACTCTGTTTTCAAATGTCAGTGACAAAAATTACAGAAAAAATAACTTAGTTTGTAGTATTTGTAATGTCAAATACAAGAATGCATAACACCATTTTCCCAATTTATATCACATATTTGAATGTTTTTCTTAATATCTACTATCAAAGTCAATATATTGATATATAATCCATATTTGTCTCCGGATAAATCAGTACAAAATTTTCCATAAATGACAGCTCTAGATAAACTCCTACCATGCTAAATATCTTAAATAAGGCTTGTCCATCTTTCGGTCTGATAAAACTTATTCAACATTTTAAGGGATTTTTTTTCAAAATTAGTACTGACTCATAAACAGCAAACAGTGCTAATCATGATTTTGATCTGCACTTGTTGCAAGGGTAGAATTGGTTGCTGCCAGCAGGCTAAAGGTCTAAAAAATTTCTTCAGACATCTAATTCTTTTTTAATGATAACAGTTTATGTAGTAGCTTAGTGAATGAAATATCTTAGAAGGCCCTATACACAGGCAACCCTTTGTTATATACCACCTCTGAGTAAAGATCACCCTGCATATAGAGGCAACTTTTTTATAACCCTTCATTGATAGAAAGTGGAATCAGGTATCCTCCAAATAAAGACCACTTTGTTGTGCATATAAAGACCAATTTGTCTTGCCTATAAAGACCACTTCGTCTTGCCTATAAAGACCACTTCGTCTTGCCTATAAAGACCAATTTGTCTTGCCTATAAAGACCACTTCATCTTGCCTAAAAAGACCACTTCGTCTTGCCTATAAAGACAACTTTGTCTTGCCTATCAAGACCAATTTGTCTTGCCTATAAAGACCGATTCATCTTGCCTATAAAGACCACTTTGTCTTGCCTATAAAGACCACTTCGTCTTGCCTATAAAGACCACCGCGTCTTGCCTATAAAGACCACCACGTCTTGCCTATATAGACCACCGCCTCTTGCCTATAAAGACCACCACGTCTTGCCTATATAGACCATGATTTACCTCTACCTTGGATGGTCTTTGTACACAAGTATGACTATATGATTATTTCATAGACCTGTAGGTTCAGATCTTACGAGGATGTTGAATTATGTAATGGAATGAGTTTGTATTGGCTTCTTATAGAAAATGTGTTGTTCTAGTCACTTTCCTGCTTTTTGCTTGAAATAGTGCACACAGAGGAGACTGGAACCTTCCTCTACCAGTAAATATGAAAAATGTGACAGCAGTGTTGCTCTGACTTCCTGATGAGGATAAGATAAGAAAATTGATAGCCAAATTCTCATGGCCTTTTTGTAAAGTGAAACACCTTAAAGAATAAATTTCATTTTACATGCTATAAAATATGTTTAACAATGGCATTTCATCAGAAGCTGTTCTAGGCCTTTAATGTTTGTTATATTCTTTAATGTTTGTTATATTCTTTAATGTTTGTTATTTTGTTATATTCTTTAATGTTTGTTATATTCTTTAATGTTTGTTATATTTTATTGTGACAATGACTTTTCATCAGAAACTGTTCTGGGCCTTAAACATGTGTTTCAATTCCTTATGACAATGACAATCCACCAGGTCTTTAATGTTTATTCATTTTTCTTGTGACTGTGACATGTCTGTTCTGGGCCTTTAATGTTTCTTTCTGTACCTTTTACATTACAGGTATATATACCATGCAGAACAGCTATAGTGCTAGCGAAACAAGACTGAGTATGATGAATTGTAGCACAATTATCACATTATATCTATACACCAAAGACTCAAGTGCTATCTATAATTGGTGCATGACAACCATTCCATTCTTAGACTGGAACAGTATATTTCTTCAAGTTGGAATTGTCCACTGTTTTTATTGAAGGGATGTCAGCACTTGCTGGTGCAAGTGTGAAAGATGGAGTGTGCCATGATTGCTTATATTCAATATACATGTATATTTTGTTAGGCCAAAGAAAATAGTTAATTTGTTACTGATTTCATGCTACTAAAGTGATAGGGTCATCTGTAAAGGTTTTCTCTTCTTTTTTCTCTCTCTTTGATGTTGGGAATAAAGGTATTATTTTCTTATATTTATTTGTATGGTTATTATATATCGGTTAATGTTAATTAAAGATTTTGTAAGAAAAAGTTTTTTCTTTGGCCTTGGTAATCTTTCTTTGAAATATAGCATGATTTTAACCAGGAATCATAGTGCTAAATGTAAAGGAGTGTTCAATTTTTGTTTTAAAGCCAGTTATTTAACTTGTGTGTCATTTGCATTTTTAGCTCTCTTTTTTTCTTCTTTTTTTAGATGTATTGACTATTGTGCAATGCAATAACTTCTGTGTCTCAGTTTTAGAGATTATATTTGACAGAAGTGTAAATATATTTTAATTTGAAAATGGTGCAGTCCAATCCATGTGACTTAATTGAGTGTCCATTTATTATTTATAAGCGTGACCTGTCCTCTACAAAGTGTTATTATTATTTTATTTTTAATTTTATGCACATGTAGTTGATATTAAAATATGAACAGTTGAATCTGTTTGTTACTATCACAAAATAAGTTTTATTATGTACACGTAATATACATGTACTGTAAGCAGCATGCCTCCAGATTCATGCTAATTTTCATGAAAATTTGAAAATATATTTGAATGTGTAATATTGTGAAGTAACCAAGGCAAACATTATCAATTGCACTTACAAACCACGTAAATTACCAAAAACTGGTCAAAATATGCATATATAGCCTTTACTGCATCAGAAACACAGTAGAAATAGCTGTAGATACTGAAAAATCAGTCATTAATCGCACAGAACATGTAAAAGTTTACTTGAATCTTGAAACTTTTTACTTTTTCTAACATGATCTTAGTACATTTGTCTCAAGTTTGATTTTATTGAAATATGTTGACTCTTCTGGAGGCATGTAGCTTTAATGGACCTCTCCAGCATTGGTACACTTGGTACCAAAATTGTTTGTTTTTTTTAGATAAATTGTTAACATTGTGAATAACATGCTTAAATTTGGCAAGGTTAAGATGTGAAATAAAAAGTGAAAAATGGGCATTGTTGAGTCAAGAGATTTATACATGTATATAACAGATACTATAACTCTCTGGTTAAATCTAGTCCAAAAACACCAACTCTAGTAACCTCCCCGGAAATTTTGTTTTTGTAATAAAATGGCAGTAATATTAGATCAAGTTTTAGTTGGTTCTGTCCTATTTACCAAGAAATTATATGTATCAAAAATTTGAGCCATGATACGATTTTAAAAGCTGTTCACACTATTCATGCTATAAATCACGTGACTTTATGGTAGTATGCATTAAAATTACTTTTACTAGGGTAAAGTTTCAATAGGAGTTGATTCAGTAATAATATATCAACTTCCGGACAGTTTTCTCTTAATATATATTAGCTGCCATGCTTACGTCAACTCGCGTAACTACAAATGACACGTGATTCATAGCCGGGAATTTAATTTGGCGCTCAAATGTTGTTTCAAGTGTTTCATTTCAGGGTGCCATTTAACTGTTTGTGATGATATTTTGGTTGTAAGCTATATATATCGTAATAGAAATAAAATGTACACTATATGAACATTAATTATGTGTTTATTTTATATTTCTGATTTACATGCCGGTACAGAAAATGTCGTCTGCTTCTCAACACGTGTTTTAGGTTTAATTTCTATCAAACTTGAACATGATCCATTTTACATCATTTGGAAAGTAAGTAATGGCATCACTTGTAAACTGCAATTTTCCCAGTGGTAATTTTCAACATAATTTCACTTTTCTGAGTAATAAAACATATTTTTTTGAAGAAAGCAGTGCTCTGCAAGCATGAATTATCCCCCCCCATACATGATGTTGGCTATTCTGCCTACAGGTGGTATACCGTGAAGAGTAACTAATACCAAAAAAAAAGTATTTGTCACTTCCATTCTGTAAGTTCTGGGTATTTTAGTAAAATGTTGAAAGAACCTTTACATTACAGGAATAGAAGATACGGTAAACATTGTAATTGCAACTTCTTCACGTGTTATAGAGGATGTTAATAGTGCCACTCATATTCCCATTATTGACGCGTATTATACATGCTGTATGTATATTATATCATAAATAAATATATATCTAGATATAGAATTTCACTTGTACTGGCGGGTAGGAATTGCACCGAAAAAAGTTATAAAATGGCAGATATACGGTGGCATAGAGGGGACATCAGAAATATTTTATCACGTGTGCAAGACAAAGCTACTATTGTGCATGCAATAGTTATATGTGGGCATGTGATAGCTACAACGTGCGCACAAGATAGCCCCTACGTTGGTCAATCATTACGTGCGCACGTAATAGCTATCACGTGTGCACGTAATAGCTCCTACATGCGCACTAATTAGCTATCGCATGTGCACGTGGTAGATAAAATATTTCTGATGGCCCCTTTATGCCACCATACAGAGACTTATAATTTAATATGCGGTGTATAAACGCCCACAAAGCGGGAAAAGAAGAATCAAACATTTGAAAATAAATACAGTAACATTTGTAAGCACAGCACACAGCATTTTAGGGTTGGAATATTATTTCGATTCTAGAACAGTCGATACGTTATTGTCCGTAGAACGGTTACGTATACGTTACCGATACTAGTACATGTATATGGTAAGATAAAAATAAAGGTCAACACAGGCTCAATGAAAATCAAAACAGACGACGTATACCGTACAGTACATGTATTTCTGTATGGTGTGTTAATTGGA